AATTTGTACCGGCTGAAAGGTTTTTGGTCGGGGATTGCGAAACCGTCTTCCATATCTGATGCGTGGGCGGGGGTTTGGATCCTTGACGAGAGTGCATTTTTTCGAATGTGGTCCCTATGCACTTCAAAGCGATTTTGCATAATTCTTGTACCCAATACTGTCGTGACGTAATGTGTCTGAACTGATGGAGCCATTGCGAACGATTTCCATGGAGAACATTTTCTGGCTGTTTATATCTTCTTTCTTTAATTTGAAAAGCGTGCACAACAAAAATGCATTCCAATGAATGGTTTTGCCCCGAAAACGACTTTATTCTCGAAATGACGTGACTGGAAACCGAATCCGAAGCGCACGATGGCGCGACAGCATGAGGTTGTCGGAAAGAGTTGTTCGAGATTGAGTTTAAGTCTGATATGAAAGTGGCGTTGGTAAAGTAACATGAGCAGAGACTGCAGAGAGACTAAGTGTACAAGAACCTTCACTACGTGCAGTCTCACATGATGTTGATGGTATGTCGCGATGCGCAGAGTTTGGTTCGCACCTGCTGGAAGTTTTCGACTCGTATGACAATCTCTTCAGCCAGAGGTGATCCCTATGAAATCGTTCGCAATGGATCAGATCAGATACATCTCGTCACGAGTAGTTAGACGCAAAGAGGCTAGTGCAAATCGCACTGATGGGCACTAGTGGACACCACGCTTAAGCAAAAATGCAAAGAGCAGCACAAGCATCAAGGATCCAAGCCCTCGAGCACGCATCTGTGAGCCCTACGACGTATCCACTTCGCCATGCAACCACGATGGCGGTAGCCTTACGCCTCCCATTTGTACTGAATGCAAATATTCTCCCTCTGAAAGGCTTCGCAACTTCTTTCCTAAAGGTCCGCAGTAGATATGGGACGTTTCGTGAATCCCCGTCCGAAGACCTTTCTGTCGGTATACATTTCATTTCAAATGGCAACTTCGACCTACCATCCTTCCCTTGTAAGACCCCAACCCAGACAACACCGGCTACAGCAGAATTCCCCTGGTCATGATTACTGAGCGCTGATTATGCTCTCGGGGGGAAGGATCAGTCTGCAGTTTTGGGGCATCTTATGGATACCTGCAATATTTGAATGAGGGCGGTAAGAGAGGAATCTGATATGATAGCCTGCAATAATTAAACGGAAGGGGGCAGAGAATGGAAATGGAACGACCCCACGTGAAGCATTTTGACTGTTTGGAAGATTGGATGTACGATAAGTCTCACCAGCTCTGAACCATTCCTTACCGTCTCGCGAATCTTCGTACGGTGCTCGTGGACTGTGAAAGTGCAAACTTAGATCCTCCCGAGGTACATAACGTCCAGAAATTGTCGTCTAGTTGGACATCATTTATTTCCTAGAGCCTCATTTCTGCTTTCCAGAGAAGCCCGTTGCCTTATCGTTGGCTGCAGAAGTATGGGGAAGTCAGAAATGATAATGAGTGTGATATCAGGGTATACCGTAACCACTCCTGTAGGCTACTCACCGTACTTAAAGCTCGCGTTCATAGCAATGTGAATAATCGCAGCGATCAACTGAAAAAGCTTTGCTAATGAAGTACTATCTGTGATCTGCAATGTAAAAATTAGTTACCAGAAGAGTTAAGATGTTTCTGGACATTTCAGACCCTGAAAATAAGATAGCAGTGAGCCGCATTCATAGTTCGCGATTCGAACGAGCAAGCTTAACCGTGATTCGGTCGCGCAATTGCGACTGATCGCTCTCCACCTTCAATTCTTGGAATACTGCAAAGTTACAAAAAAGCTTATACCGGGTGTGATGACGCTAGCAGTTGCAGAGGTCAAACGATCAGCTGTAGAGCGTCAGTCACAGTCACGCAGTTCCCGAATCGCTCGACTGGATGGTAGTCGCGAAGTATGACAGGCCAGACGAGCAGATATGATGGCTCAAACCCGCTAGAGAGCGGATTTGAGAGGTTCCCTGTGATGGAATGGGAAATAGCTAGGGCGTCTGAATATTGGCTTGGGACTGCTATTAGGCCGCTATAGAAATTGCAGTCCCTGCAGTTCCCGCACTCCAACTCATCCACATTTGCCCCTTGCTAAACGTAAGAATAGTTGACACCGCCATCCGCTACCGTAAGCATGGGTGTGCATCGTAATGTTCCACCTGGCGGGCGTGGTGAGCGACGCAGCGCTCATGAGACGAGTCGTCCTGGATGGCATTTGAACAAGGGTATCAAAAGCGGAGTGAATAGCCGACCACCGTTCACTGGCTCTACACGAATGGCAGAATGGGGGAAATCCAATACCACCATATTTCGGTGCTCCAGTCGAGAAAATGACACCCATCGTGAAGTTGCTGCACATGGTCGCGCGATGCAACTCACGCAGCGAGGCGATAGATTACGATTGTCTTGTCCGCCTTCCCATAAGGTTGCGTTTATACCTAACGACCACGTCGACGTGACCGACGTAAGCGACGTTTTCGGCGACTACTTCTCGAAATTGAAATGCGTATTCATCTGGCATAACCGACGTAACAAACGCTTTCGGCGACTGAAATCTAGATACGTATCGATCCACGTGTCGACGTAATCGACATAACCGACGGCAGAAAATTTGATACGTATCGACTGACGTCGAATTCGTCAGATACGTCCGGCAACGTCGTCCGTTAAGATGGGTCGATACGCATCCAGTCGACAGCTTCAACGTCGCCAATTTCGTCTGTTACGTGGACGACGTCCACGTCGTCGTTAGGTATGAACGCAACCTAAGCCTTTCTGCCATCTCCCCATTCTGCCATTCGGGTAGAGCCAGTGAAGTGGTGGTTGACTGTTCGCTACTTTTTTCAACACTTGAGAGTAGTTTAGTGCCTTGTGAGCCTCTTCACGTATGCAGCGGGTTGTGCACTAGTCTCAGGCATGGTTTCGAGGAAAAGCGGGGGCTGCGTCAGTATCCCCGAACGAAGGACTTCCCCCCCTCCCCTCCCATTTATACAGAAACCTCATGCTTGAAGATGGCTTCAAGTCAGTGATGAGATTTCTACATAATGACGATCAGTCGCCCAGCTGATTGTTCAGCTAAGTGGTGTCCTACTGGATTACCTCAGCGAACGCGTTACTGCGAAGCTTTCAAGCGCGCCCTTATATGTAAGAACGGCTTTGTATAGGACAGTCGTAAAGTGGCAGCTGCTGGGCATGGCGAGCGACGCAGACTATATCCGGACGAGCTGTTCTGTCCAGCCGTTTGAATTCGAATGTTACAGGAACGGGAAATCCGATACCGCTCGTCATGGAGGCTTGTCTCCGCTGATTTCACATTAGCTTCATTGATCGAATTAACTGATAGACATCAACTAGTTGCTGCGCATCGCAGCACGATATGACTAGCGCGATGATGCGAGAAAACGCCTTGTCTAATTTCCTGTAGAAACCCTGCATCCGTCCCGACTCAAGACACCTGCCATCCGTGGAGCTTCCCTCCGTCCTTTTTTCTTCTTCCTTTCTCCTTTTCCTTCTCCCACCAACTGCTGGTCCAGTAGACGCGAAGAGGAAACGCCTCTGAACCCTTTCAACGATAGCACGTCTGTTTGACGGAATCCCTGTCACCTTGTAAGTGCTGCTCTCACTGGTCTGGAAGAACCTGATCTTATTGCCTGTTCTCGCCAAGCTGGAATGATTGCCCACATCGCTGAAAAACCTGCACTGGTCATTCTTGGGCGTTGTATTCGGAACCGTAGTGGAGATTCTCATTGGAAGTAAACATGTGGAAGAACTCACAAGAAGTGCGAGACACTTGAAGCTGCGAAGCTCAGAATGAAACACCCTCAGCCTCAGCATCCCCAGTATCATGAGGTTGTTATCAGTCAGTGCTGATACGAGTTCGTCATAACAGTTTTCCACTTGTCATGCATTGTTCTTCACCACAGCCCTCTGCTGTCACGGGAGCGCTGCCCAGAACTCAGCGGGTTTAGGTCTTGTCCGAAGTTCTCCTACTTCCTCATATCCCAGCTACACCGCAATAAGTAATTTGAGCATCGATTGTTCTCATAAGCCTTTGTATGAGTCGAACGTATTTCTGAGAGCCCCTAGCACTACTTCAGATTTGTGGAACTGCGCCCATGCTGTCGTATTCGGCTCCGTGAATGTGGACAGGAGGGGGGCATATTTGGAGGAGTAAGGAGTCAGCAGACTTTTGAAGCATGTGTGCGGGAAGCAAGTTGAATGCATAGCACTCAAAATGGAAGTTCGAATAAGGGCAACCATAAGGAATAAGGGGAATCGGTTTGAGAAGCAGTTAATTTGGTTTGAAAAGTGGTGAATTTGAATTGGATATGGTATAAATCTGCGTTCGGGCACTTCGTAATGAGATGTCCAGGCTGGAGCGGCACAGTCTAACAATTCAATGAGCTAACCACAATCTGTGCGTTTGAAAGCCCCTTGTATGTGCGGTATTATTGACTTCGGCACTATTTACCCTTTACTGCCCCAACCATCCCGAATTGAGCCAGTTTCTGACCGACTTTTTTCTCCGTGGACAGATTTGGCTCAAATGTTGTCTCCTGGGGTATTTTGACCTCCTGAATACGAATATGACATTCGCTTAGCCCGAAACCTCTTGGCGCCCGCGCCACATGTGCCGGTGATCTGGGGTATTTTCGCGCCAGCACCTGTGGCGCAGGCGGTTTCGGTTTTCGTTGGTTTCGTGGTGAACATGCTTAGGAGGTCAAACTACTCCAGAGTACAAACTTCCAGCCAATTCTGCCAAGGCAGAAAAAAGTCGGTCAAAAACTGGCCTGTTTTCGGAAGATTGGGGCAGTAAAGGGTAAATAGTGTCTTGACTGTTAACTGTATGCCCTCCCGATAGGACTCTCAATTCGATGAAACTAGCAACTCACTTTAGTCTGTATGAATTCCAAAATTTCAAGAAGAACGATTGCACGATTACTATTCTCCTTTTCTGCTGTGAGAACACGAGTTTGGTTCACAAACCATTTTTATTCATAAATTTCAGAGTGGGATGATACAGGTGACATGCTTGCAGTCATTATGATGACCATTATAATGGTCGAAATGGCAATTGTCGGGACAGATGATCGCTTCACATTCAGCACGGCAAAGCTCCCCTGCCTCTGAAAAAAACGGTTGTTTTTACCACAAAAAGGTGAAAGCAGCCGGCACAACCAAACAGCCAACACACCAACCCTTGCAACACCGGCTACAGCGGATTTCCCCTGATTAGATAGGTAGCGCTATATGCCTCAAGAGCGATCAGTTTGCAGTTTCGCGACAGCGTTATGGTAGCCTGCAAAGGCAGTTGGCACGATAAATCCCCCAAGACGACTAGGATCAATACTCCTGGCAGGATAGAATTCCGCGACCCTGGGCAGGCGCTGCATAGCGGTTTCCCCGAGGAAGGTGCCCTTATAAGGGCCCTATCAAGCCACAACTTTACGTCCCAAACGCCCGCCACGCCCGCCCGCCCACAAACCGTTCCTGACGCTCGTATTCATTCATTTGCTAAGCAAATTATGAAGCGAAGGGATTGGTATGAAGCGGCCATGATGCTACATGCATACATGGTATAGTGTAGTTCGCTGCGAACGGTTGGGCGTGTCAGGCGGGATGAGTTTGGCGCGGTGCCAAACCCGTTCTCCACCAGTTGTTAAAGCGAGCAAGTGATATGACTGTATCATATCGTTCGTATTACTCGTTTTCTACCACTTTTTGTCGCATGCGCGCTTCAACAAGAAGGCAGAGAACGGCTTTGACGGGGTGACACACTCATACTGCCTGACACGCCCAACCGTCCGCAGCGAACTAGAGTGGACACATATGCAGCCGTATCTTCGGTAGCGGTGATTGGTAAGATGCCTACGGGAAACTCGTCCGAAATCGATTTACAAGTCACTGAGAACGGAGGCTTTTTTCGCAGGATTTTGACCGTTTCACTCCGTTCTTTCGCCATTTCCCCACTATACAGCGCCCTACTAGCATTTTAGGCTAAGTAGGGAAACCATCGTGCCAACTGCCTTTAAATGAAGGCGGTAGGAGGGGACCTGATATGCGTGGATTTGACTTTTCTGAAGTATACGATGCGACCTCGCTTGTAAGGCCATTTCTACCCTAAAAATCGTTGTCTGCTACAATGCTGACGTGGAGGTGCAGACTAGCTTTTACCCAGGTACAGAGGGTCCAGAAATAGTCATCTAGTTGGAAGTAATCAATTCCTGAAGCCTCATTATCGCTCTACGAACTGTCCCATTTCTCCTCGTCGCAGAACGTCCGGATGTCTGAGTCAAAAAGAAAGCGAGAGTGGTTGGGTATAGTACACCATATCTACTCCTTAGAAGGAAATCTCCCATACTATCAATAGGCGCGACGCACAGCTTCGGGGAGTGTAGAAAAGGGGAGCGTAGGGGAGGAGATCGCTTTCCTCGAGGAGTAAGCATGACATATGACTCGCCAACCAGGAATCACTTCTCCGCACCATAATTTCCTGCCGTTCTCTGTTCCAGATTCAATCGCCTAATTTTCTTCAGAAAGTGTTACCCAGCGTACCCACCGTTCCACCTTTTGACCCTGTTCACGGCGTTAGGAGCGGCATTATGAATAATCGCCGTAATCAACTGAAAAGGTTTCGATAATGACACTGGCTGTATGCCAATTAGCAATGTTACTTACCAGAAACGTGCACAGCTTTCTGAACATTGTAGGCCCTGAAAACCAAATAGCAGTGAACGATGAGCGTCAAAAAAAGTGGCAAGTTTTCGGAAGAGGAGTAAACATGTGGAAGAACTCACAAGAACTGCTGGATGCTTACAGCTGCAAAGCTAGAATGAAACACCCTCATTCTCGGCATCCCCAGTATCACGAGGCTGTTATCGGTCAGTGTTGATACTAATCATTATCACAGCTATCCACTTATCATTCATTGTTGAATTCTGTTGTTCGTTACCACGAGGGTGTTGCCCAGCACTCGTGCGGGTTTGGGTCCTGTCCGAAAGTATCTTCTTGCTCATAAACCAACAGCACCATGATAACTGGTTCGAGCATAGATCGTTCTCATAAGCCTTTGTATGGGCCAAATGAAAACCTGAAAACCCCTTGGACTACTTGAAACTGAGCGACGAGGGGGGGGGCGGGATTGTACTTGAACCCTCTCGGTGGGGAGGGTGGTATGCGCTGTCTGATGCGGTATGTATGGTCGAGTACAAATCAGGAGTTTCTAACGAGTTCTCGCTTGTTCGTATCATATCGTTATCAGCTCCCTGACCTTATCACTCACTATTCGCGCTGAAGGGAGTGACTAGAGGAACAACCGTGCCATCACGTAGCAGTTAGAAGTGAATGTTGGGTGTGGTTTGGAACGCTGGGTGGGTATCGCCTCTGTCACGGCCAATTGCCGCCGTCAGCACGCCTTTCTGAGCCACAAAAGTGAGACGTGCTCCTTGGATAAGACTACCGTGACGAAGGAACTGCGCGTCAGGAGTAGCAGAACGGCCGCTTAGATCGAATGTACACTAATTCATGCAGACCAGTGCCAGTGCGTTGCTAGTTTCATCGGATTGAGGGTCCTTCCAGGAGTTCTGACACAGTTAGATGTCAATAATGCAGCCCGCACATCCGAAAAGCGTGCCAACGCGCAGATTGTGTTGAGCTCACTGGAGTGTTAGACTGTACTGCTCCAGCCTGGACATCTTATCACGAACCGTCTATGCGCAGATCTATAGCAAGAGAACGGTGAATCTAGCATCTTCATTCGTGCTACTTATCGTGGATACCCAATATGGCGAACTGTTCTTAACTAGCTGAAAGGCTCCCAGCATGCACTTGACATTTTGAAGCGATGTCTGCAAAGAGGATGCTGCAAGCAATATTGCATGTATGAAGACACTCACCACAACTACGAGCTGTTGCCAGCAGTAGAGTTCAGAATGAAACACCCTCGATATCATGAGGTTGTTATCAATCAGTGTTGATAAGAGTTCATTATCACGGGTTCACACTTGTCATGCATTAATAATTTTTGTTCTCCGTCATGGGTCATGATGTTTCTGTAGTCACTGTCACGACGTTGCCCAGCGAGTACTCGTGCAAGCTTGAGTCCTGTCTGAGACGTAACAATCTGAATCCAGCAATCCCATTGTAAATGGGCATCAGTCCACTTTCAGTGGTCAGAATCATATTGTCTAGCAGTGATGGCATCCAAAATAGGTACAGGAGAGGGTATTCCCACCAATACCGCAACTAAAAAACTAAACTGGTGGCAGACTGCGCACGCACCAGGCAAGTCCGCTGCGGGTCTTCACTTTTAGTCCCCTCCCATCCTTTGTAACGAACACTTGCCGGTGACCTCGTGAAGTCGTTCACTTGCGAGACACCGTCCACTTTGCCCACGACCTTTACGGCACTGAACTTGCTTTTGAGGTCAAACAATACCGCTTGTGCGATCCTTTGGAATGAGCTCTCGAAGGCAAGTCGTATACCACTATGTACACCGAACAGTCCTTCCTATGGGATCGCGATGAATAGAGCCGCAGCTGCAGTAGCGTGCGAGTTTCTCCGCCCACAAGTACACGAGAACGGGGCTGGATGACAGCGAAACTCGCGTGCTGTATCCATACTCCGCCCGCGCTATCTTCAATGTGCAGCACTTGCGTCGATACCCAGCTCCCGCGATGAAACCCGCACTGAGCGATAGAGAGCAACCAGGAGTGAAAGAGCGTAAACAAATAGTTTGGCTATGGGTAGGCGTGTGATTTGACCTACGGCAGCGCGGATAGAGTAAGGGGCAACACTCGAGCAACACTGGCCTCCTGTGCCGTTCCCGTGACCTTTAAGGTACGAAAAATAGGACCCTACTGCAGCTGCGGGGCTATTCGCCCACAGGAAGAACCGTCCTTGATAGTGGGTATTCAGTTTCTCTTCAAGAGCTGCACAGCGATCATCGTTACCACAACCGCAAGGGGCAGTGTGAGCCGAGCAGGGGGTTGGCAGTATTCATGAATTCTCTCATTGGCCACTCACTCACGAGCTTTATCGTGTAAAGCCCTGCATCATCATTGGACAGTTTAGTCTTCCGGGAATTTCTGAGCAAACAAGTCTTGATTTCCAGATCACTTGGACAGCTTCAGGGCATTCTTCAGTGATGGTCTACTTTTGGCTGCGTTCATAGCTTACGACGTCGGCGGCGACGTCGATGTAACCGACGTAACGGGCGACAAAAGGCATCCTCAAGGGACGCACAGCGATTATCGACAGCAGGGGCAGTGCGGCCCAAGCAGGACGGTTGGCAGTACCCATACATGCCTTTTGACCAGTTACTCAGAGACGGGAGGCTAGATGCGAATCGATCCGACGTAACTGAGGTAGTCGACGTAACCGACGTTTTCGACGTCGATCGATACGTATCTATTCTTCTGTCGCCGTTCACGCCGGTTACGTTTAAGGCATCAGATATGAGCGCAGCCTTTTGTCGCACGTGTCCTTGTTGCACACCCATTCCTATGGTTACCAATAGCATTCTCTTCTCGCCGGTGTTCGATTCCTAGGGATGCCCGGTCGTAACTTATTTGAAAGGACCCAGTCTCAAGGCTAGTCCTTCTATGGCTAAATGTTAAAGTGGACCCATGTCTCACCTATACATAGAACAGAGCTTGAAAAGCTGGACTATGCGAATCGCAAAAAAAATTCTCTACACGAGAGCCCAAAGAAGAGCAGAAAAGGATCGACCTGCTCGATGAAATTGTGCCAAAGGTTTCTGTGTGTACTGTGGACAGTAAATTATTGAATTAGAAAAGTAAAGTAAATTAAAGACGTGGACAGAAAATCCCAAGAGAGCGCACAAGACCGAAAAAGGTTGAGTTTACGCGACAGTCGCAATTTTCGAGAGGGTCCTGGTGCCAAGGGCGAGCGTGCAGTGAAAAGGACGACTGCCGCGGTCAAGTTTTGTAAGGTGCAAAAAGTCCGTCGGTGTTACGAGCCGGGGATGAGCTCTTCCAGGGAGTGAGGACTCCCTGATAGATGAGCAGCCCATCATTTCTCTCGAAATTCATTCTGCGACCACTGTGAAGTTGTTAGTTGTTGTCAGACTTATTAACCACCACTGACAACGAGTGGCATTGTCCCGCTTTTCCGGAGGTGTCCTGTTCCCTAAGGACGACCATGCTGTCGGAACGTCAGGCCAATTTCAATAAAACTCTCTACCTAACATCCTCTTTGGCTCAATAAATCAAAGCTGCAAAGTTTATGAGAATGCCGAGGTTTAATGAAGAGAAAAGCTGGACTTCATGGCATCCTTGACTGCCCTGTGCGTGAATTAGGCAGCTGCTTCACAAGGATGTGGCGCCGTACCGGCCCTGAAACCCTTAAGAATTTATGATCCATTGGTATCATGGCTGTGAGACGTGTTAAAGTGAGGCAGTTAGAAAGACAATTGCAAGATATTAGGTCGTTGCAAAAGAAATGCAGGATTTTGCTTGCTTGTATTTCATACTTATTTTATTCCAATAATATGTTACTTTAATATGAAGTGTTATATACTATTCGGAAGCTCATCTCATGCTCTTTCTAAATGATACTCCAAGATTGGTTGTAATTCATTTTATTATAATTTTTATTGACATTTTATTGCAGATGTCGAAACGTGAATTTCGCACTATTTTCTTCTATGAGTTCAAGCTAGGCCGAAACGCTGCCGAGACAGCTCGAAACATTAACGAAGTTTGGGGTCAAGGAAGTGTCAACGAATGTACGGTCCAACGTTGGTTCCAGAAGTTTCGTTCTGGCAACACCAGCCTTGAAGATGAACCTCATGTTTGGTGGTCTGCCGCCGGTCTCATCCATCACAGCTTCCTGAATCCTGGTGAAACAATTACGGCAGAGAAGTACTGTCAACAAATCGACGAAATGCATCAGAAGCCTTAACGCATGTGCCCAAGGTTGGTCAATATGAAGGGACTCCACGATTCCGGACTCTTCTCCACGACAATGCCCGACCACACTTTGCACAATTTACCCTCCAGAAAATAAACGGATTGGGCTATGAAACTCTGCCTCATCCACCATACTCACCAGACTGTCGCCCACCGATCACCAACCTGTCGCCGCACGATCACCAACCTGTCGCCCACCTATCACCACTTTATCCAGCATCTGCGACACTTTTAAGAGAAAGGCTTCACAAGCAAAGACGATGCCAAAACGCCTTCCCAACGATTTTCGGGCGCCTCTAAAAAAAATACAAACCAATCTTGAAGCATCACTATAGAAGAGCATTAGTACTAAGGCTTTGAATTGATGTAAGACACGTACATTTCATTTGGAATAAAATAAGTATTAAATGGTTACCCAAAAACGAAATCCTGGCATTTCTTTTGCTAACACCTAATAAGTCTCAGATCACAATGACCACCGAGTAAATAATTATGAATTTGGCTGTGGATATGGTCACTTCTGGAAAGAATGAGTATGCCAGAAATCAGAATCAGTAGGATGTCAGATCTCGAGCATACTTCAGGGTTTTCGACATATGGTGCGAAGCATAGTCATAGTCCACCCTTGAATATCACAAAATCCCGTCTTACACGATGTTTTCAAATATGCCCCCATACAAAAAAAAGATGAAGTACCAATTCGCATGCCATTTTTCCTCAATTTGTTGAAAAATGGCAGTTCTCGCAATGCAGCCAAATGATAGTTCCACCCAC